AAAGAAAACAATTCATCAGCTCTAGAAGTGCAATCATTCAACCACTTGCTTTACAGAGGCAACATCTGAGGCAACAGTACAGAAACCATATGAATGATACAGACAAGTAGTGACACTTTATACAGTGTGGCATTTTATTAAGGTACAGTTCTTCCAAAAGCGGAAGACCGTAAACTGAACTTATTTCATTGCAGGAAAATTTGCTTGTTTTGCCTCCTCTCCGGAGGTTACCAACAGCACCTTAGACAGGAGGTAAAGTTTTCAAATACCTCCAATTTACTAAATGCATGCTTCTGCTTTTTGGAGAACAAAAATCAAAGCTCCCTCATAATGAGAACCATGTGATTGGCAACAAAAGGATGCTTTGTTCCAGCTTCAGTAACCAGGAAATGATGGAAGAACCAGAAGAATGTATATATTTTCAGAAGTCCACTGTTGAACTTTGCATTCCACAGTATCCACTTCTCACTCTATAATACATATTTTATTTATGGCGCTTGCTAATTGTGAGGAGCTACCAACTTCAGTAAGATAGAAAAGTCATACCCAATCATTTGAGAGAAAATGATTTCACCACAGAAACTCAACTTGGGGAGGGGCAGGTTTCAGAGATAAAATGTTGGTACAGGTATACTAAAGTTTATTTATTTGAAAATTCACAATCTGCTTTTCAGAAAACATATTAAGGCAGCTTACAACATATCAACAACAGTCTATAAGTATACGTTGTTAACAGAAAAATCCAAGGGCTCCCTTGGACAAAAACAAAGGACACCAACCAGGATTACTTGGAGCAAAACAGCAGCCTGTAGGCTTGGCCTTTATTGAACTTTTGCAACAGGGTGCTCCCCTCACTTGCAGGAGAGAGGAAAGACACAGAAAAAATGGTGTGCAAGGTCTTATAAAGACTTTTGAAATTCCCATCCTGTAGATCAAGCCCACCCCAGAAACATCATGCATACATCACAGAAAGGAGGGGTTGAGGGAGGGGTTGTGGTGGTAACCTGAGTGTCCTGTCACCTGGCTGGTTCCCCCTTTCCCCCTCCCCATGAGTACTTTCCAGGTGACAGAGGGGAGTTTGCAGTTTCCTGCCCCCAGAGGGAAAAGCTGATTATTGTCCTTTGTTCCAGTCTGTGCTGAATCCACTCCCATATGCAAGTTCTTTGTGATCTTGATGGTCTTCTGTCTAGGACCATCAGGGTTGGCATAGCAACTGGGCAGGGCTCCTGTGGATGTGCTGGTATGGTCAAGGGATTATGGCTGCCCTGTATCAAACCTTCCCCATTTTGTAGTCCTTCCTTCATGGAGTAAAATAAAAGTGGAACAGTGCAAATCCGATGTATGGTTGCTTTTCTATGAATTTATAACAGAAGCGCAGCGTATGTAGTGTGTGAGTGTGTGTGAAGTTTGTACAAACTGAATGATTGGGGGGGGGGGAGGTTTCCTGCTACAACGTAAAATGTCATTTAAAACACCAGTAAGGCAGCAAGAAGATACATTATAAGTTTACTTAAGACACAATATGAATTCATCTGTTAGGTTTAGCAGGCAATTCTAGTATCTGCACTTATGAAAAACTGGCTTAATCCTGAGTTCTCTTTGGAATTCTGGATTCAGAAAGTGACAATTATAAGCCATATTAAGGAAATATCTTTATTAAGACCAGTTAAAATGTCATGAAACGGTGAACAAGCTTTTGAGTTTTGCAGAATTCCCCCATCAGGCAAGATGTTAAACAAAATACCATTTTGTGACATTTTTGTTTGTCTGATGAGTAGAGAGGCTGTTCTGAACAGCCTTGTACTCCTCTGCAAGAAAAAAGTCTGTGTTATGGGTATATTCCTGGAGCCAATGTTGGCCTTGGTGGCTTTGGAGTGCCTGTTTCCAGCTTCAGACCCTATTACACAGAGATGACTTGGCCACTGCATTCCATGCAACATCCGGATTGCCTTGCGCTCTGTATGGGACTGCCCTTGAAGGCTACTGAAACTTAAACCATTCCAAAATGCATTGTTCAGGTTACTGGCCAGGTTTTATTTAGGGCTCAAATAACCTGTTAACCTATCCAATTAAAGGTGCTCCTGTTGGTGTTTAAAGCCATAAACAGGCCACAAACAGCTGGAACCTACATGCCCTTTCAGCTGTTAAGATAAACAGAGAGAGGGCCTTTTGGTAGTTCTGGTATAATCAGAAGTACAGTGGTACCTCGGGTTACATACGCTTCAGGTTGCATACGCTTCAGGTTACAGACTCCGCTAACCCAGAAATAGTGCTTCAGGTTAATAACTTTGCTTCAGGATGAGAACAGAAATTGTGCTCCGGCAGTGCGGCGGCAGCAGATGGCCCTATTAGCTAAAGTGGTGCTTCAGGTTAAGAACAGTTTCAGGTTAAGTACGGACCTCCGGAACGAATTAAGTACAATACTTAACCTGAGGTACCACTGTACAGGGAATGGTGGCCTGGGACATGTCTTTCTCTGTGGAATCCCTTCCCCAGAGAGGTGCATATAGCATGAGTACCCTATATCCCACACTATTCTTCCAATTGTAATTTGTTTTAACTATTTTAATATTGTGATTTTATATTCTATATCACTTCTATATTTTATATAAATTCCCCACTCCGTATTTTTCCCGTTCATGGGCCTATACTTTCTCTCTCCCTCTCTCTCTCGTGTGTGTGTGTGTGTGTGTTGGAGAATACTAACTTTAATCATACAGGGGAGATCCTGAAACTAGAGGGAAATGGCAGACCACCATGTGAAGAAGCAATATTTGAGGTGAGAGTGTTATATGCCTTCCAGCCATCCAATAATGCTACAGAGTTCGACTCCTATTGAGGTTTTCTATCATGTGTCGCCTAATTAACATGAAGACGACTTTGGTCTTTATTGTTTGCTCAGTGCCTCCCAGGCTTCCAGTTTTCTCAGTTTACACTTATATATGAACTTGTTTGTTTCTTGTGTGCTCATGGAAGCAGTTCTGGTTATGTTCCATTTCGCCGCACAAAGCAGCTACTATTGTCCATACCAGTTTACCAAAGTCAAAATATTATTGCATACTTGGAGGAATTAGAAAAGTCAATAAATTTCTCCATAAATATTATTTAGTCTAAATTTCTGCCCAAATGGGAGACAGTGAGTAAAATGTATTAGCAGCTTGGTGTGCCAATTGCAGTGATACAGAATAGCAAGTTGGTTAGTTGTTACAAGGTAATCAGTTGTAACAATAACCAGGCTACTCAAACATATATTGCTGAATTTACCTATAGATTCACACTTAGTTTGTTTGTACGATAGAGATAGAAATAGATGGAGGGCTCCTGGCTAACCATAGAAAAATTATTGCTAAGGGGCAAGGTTATACGGGAGGCAAGCAGATGGGATCTAGCCAAGGCTAAAGAGAATTGTTCCTGCAGACATGAGCAAGGTCAAGCAGGCTTAAGAAAAAGCTAAGCATGGACCAGCCTACTGAATAATTAAGAAACAGAACCCCTGGATGCTCAGTTATAGGTAAAGGTTTTCTGATGGGTGGTGGCTTCTGGCACAAAGAGTGGCTGCGTTAGGGATAAAGCTGGAGGAAGGCTAATTAAACACTATTTTAAAAAATACAACCAGTCACAGCGGTCAGCAAACAGCCTACACACTGCCAGAGCTGACTAGTCACACCACTGCACTAATGATTCCCAGCAAAGTTAGAAAATGCAGCAGTTCGTCCCAAGAATGAAGGCAAAAAGCCTCAGTAGAAATGTACCACCCACAGTACATACGTTTTTCAGGTTCCTTATTTAAAGGAGACATAGAAGTTGATGACAAGGGAAAGGGTCTTTTCCATTATGGCTCCCATGTGTGAAACGCTCTCTACCTGCTGCATTCACAAATTTCTTTTTGGCATCCAGTAAAAACTTACTCCCCCCCCCCCAAGCTTTGGATGGACTAAGATGTTTTTGATGTTTGTGTGCTCCAAAGCTTCCTGAGGCTGTTATGAAGGGTGTTATATATTTTTATGACCTGCACCTGTTTTTGTATGTGATAATATTCATAGATTTGTATAAAACGCGCACAATGTGCTTTTTTAAACACGTAAGTTGCTTGAAGACCTCTGTGCAACAAATGACTAATAAGTCTCATAAATCTGATTCCTAATGTAATCCTTTGCTTTCTATAAGTTCCACTGCTCACAAGCAACAAATTATTAACTCAGCTGATGTTTTCAGAGGAAATAGTTTATTTTTTCACAAAAACATTGTATGAAAGCTGTGCCCGTTGCTGTAGAGTACATCAATTAACAAGCATTCAAGAAATAAAGGCACTCAAATTAAATCATGCTTAGCAGCTAAAGGAACACTAGAAGGAAACCAGACTATTTATGAGTACGTCACCTATGGAGGAATTTGGAACTCACAACATTCCCTGAAGGGAGGTTTACCACTCTGACATATTAGGTCTAACACACTGGATTCTTCCTTTCCTAATTCCCTTATACATTGGGGAATTCCCTTATGCATTCCTAATTACCCTTATACATTGGACCTCCAGGTTACAATGTTTCCCCATTGTTACAAGGCCTTTCCCCCCAGCATACGAAGGTGGGGCCCCGATTGACTTCAGCTATTTCAGCTACAAAAGCAGAAGCAGCTGAATAGGCCAGAGAACACCTTGCCTGTCTTTCAGTAGAGACCCAACCAGAGCTTCCACAGCCACCACCCACTACTGGCAGCATTTGCAGCATTATATGTTTTTATTTTATTACTAATTTAAATGTGATGTTTTAAATGTGCATTTTATATTTGACTTCCTTTAGTAATGTTCTTTTTGAAATGTTTAAGATATATTTTTTGTTCACTTTGCTGCATTAAATGCGCATTCTATAGTTGACCTCCTTTATAATATTTTGAAATCGTTTAAGATAATATCTTAGTTTCCTGTTCATTATGTTGCTTGGAATGTATACTTGATTTTAGTTAGTGACGTTTTATTCTTGATTGTTGTATTTAATATTTTAATGTAGGTTGTAAACCACTTTTGAGATTCCGCCCGCCCCCCCCCCTAAAAATATAAAGCAATAGAGAAATGAAATGAAAAATAAAGCTAGCAGCTGAACAGAAACAGAAGTAGGATGCAACATGTACGGGCAGGCAAAAGTAGGCATATGAGGGATTGTAAAAGTGTAGAAGTAGCTAGGCCATGTTGTATCAGGTTTTCTTTGAACTTGTTGCAATGTTGCACTCCAAAGATTTTGTGTCAGTTCAGTCTTTGGCAGCTGAAAATATCTTTGTTTTCTTACAATGTGTTGCAGTAACTTCATAACACTCTGGTTTCTGCACTGTTTAGAGTCCGAATGGCTAACCTCCAGCCCTCCAGATATTGTTGAACTACAACTATCATCAACCCTAGCCAATTGTCAGGGTCGATGAGAGTTGCAGTTCCATATTTACAGGGTCACAGTTTAGCCACTATTGTTCAGTTTTGCCAGCTGTGACTAGTACAGTAACTTTGGAATAATATTATGTAATGTCAAATGAAAATATGCCCTGGCTTTAAGCCTGAACTTAGTTGATTAAGCAACATGCTGTATCAGTGCTAAGACTGCAGCTGTTGGTACTGTGTTTATCTTGTGAGGCGCTTCCACATGGCACTTTTTTACAACTAACTACTGACCGGCCAGCTTGACATAAATACCAGAAAAGGTCCTAGAACAGATCTGTGAGCACTTAGATAAGGATGCTGTGGTTTCTCGAAAACAAGCCATGTGAGATAAATCCTTTTTTCTTTTTTTGATATGAGTTATAAGCTTGGTAGATCAGGGGAATGCTGTGGACGTAGTGTATCTTGATTTCAGTAAGGCTCCTGACAAAGTCCATGGTTCCTCCTGGAAAAAAAGTGACAAGTGGGGTGCTGCAGGGTTCTGTTTTGGGCCAGCTGTTATTCAACATTTTTATAAACAACTAGGGTGAAGGAACTGAGAGGATGCTCATCAAATTTTCAGATGACAGCAAACTGGGAGGGGTGGCTAATGCTGCAGAAGACAGAATTGAGAATCAAAATGACCTTAACTGCTTAACAAACTGGAGAGCTGGGTCCAAACAAAATGAAATTTGAACATATGGCTTCAAATTACAAGAAATGAGATTCCAATTAGACATTAGGGAAAAACTTTCCGACCGCTAGTGCTGTTTGACAGTGGGCTCCCTCAGAAGAACTCTCCTTTGGAGATTTTTAAGCAGACGTTGGATGGCCACCTATCATGAATGCTTCAGTTGAGATTCCTGCACTGAAGGAATTGGGGTTCCTTCCAACTCTACAATTCTATGATTCTATGAACTCAATAGGAAACATGCTAAAGATGCATCACAATTTGCAAACTGATGACAGTTTGAGATATGCTGAATCGTACCTCAACTTCTACACAATTCCAAAATTGTGATGTAATAATTGGTGGGAAATAGTGTTGGTTTATAGGAAGTTCTGTGATAGTTTATCAGAAGACTCAGTTGCTATACTACTGAATTATTTGAATCAATCTTTGGTGAAAGGAGATACTGAAGTTGTAACTAGATCTGTTACTGTGGTGAGAATATAGTATTGAAATGAAGAATAGCATAACACCAATTAAGTGTTTCATTTTTCAGGATGTGCAATATTGATAGAATTGCAAAACTGATTTACTATAGACAAATTAGAGAATCCCCCAATTATGTAAAGCAAATCTAACTAAAAGTGGTTCTCCTTCTTTCAGAACAATATTCACTCTTTCTCCTAATATGGTATAACCTAGGCTTTTTCTTTCAAATTAAATTCTTATTTGCCACTGTTTGTAATCTTATGAGATTCAACTTTTTGCTTTTTAATAGCATAAAAAATAAAAACCGTAGTTTCATCATTAAAAAGGCTGATTTATTACTAAACGTTTCTCTTACATGCCATGTAAGTTACTTTCCGATAGTCATCAAGGCTTCAGGTTTCTGCATTCGTTTCAATAAAAACCAGCTTATAGAGGCAATAGCCTAAATTATTATTCAGAAGGGTATTGTACAAAGGTGTTTAAGAAGGTGGCAACAATAGCCACCTAGTCTAAAAGTGTTTTTCAACATTCTTTCCAGAACGCCTTGCTTGCAACAACACCACTGTAACACTGCACAATCAGTATGGTATTCTTCCAATTGATGCCAGGATCTTCTCTCTCTCTTCTGCTGTAGGCATATCTGGTTTGATTCCATCTTTTCTTCTCTGCATCATGATCCCATTCTAGAAATACAGAGAATCAGTGTGGCAGTGAATTAAATTATCTTCATTATTAGCAAAATAAGTATTTTAAATATTTAGATAACTGGAAGTCTAGCTGTCTTCAAAGTTGATATATTGGCAACTTTCCCCTACTTGTTTCACTGGGTTACAAGAATTATGCTGCAATACAAAGGTACAAGGGGACAACCTACCAAAACCAGTTTGCACATAAAATGCAATGTATTTGCTAATTTAAAAGCAGCATTTTCTCTGCTAAAAATATTTCACTTAATTAGAGTCTAAAGTTGGAGAAGTCATGTTAACTCAAAATAGTCGTGAACTTCCTGCATAGCTATGCCCATTAAGATGGCAAAGACTGATTCAAAGCGAAGCAGGTTAAAGGAGAATGGTATCAGATATCTAAAGTGAAATTCAATCAAGTGAACTGTTAATGATCCACACTAGCAACGATCGAGCAGTTTGGAAATGGAACGTGGTCCTGAAATGATTTCTTGCACAAATCTGAACTGGACTGTTTGCACTTCCTAGAACTGCCTAGAGAGCACTGGGCCTTAACTTTCCCTCTTTAGCCATACATAGGCATTTAGTTTACTACCAAGGAAGAGCTAGAGATGTGCTAGCAGCTTTAGCAAGGATGTCAGCTTGAGGAGCTACTACCTGGGCAAAGATGGAAATAGTGTTGTTGCTGTAATGAATAACAGCATCCGGCTAGCTCTACTTTGTGAGTCCACTGTCTCACATGAAGTCAATGCTATCTAGTTTTGATCTATTTCTCAAGTTGGCTGCAAAAGCATATGCTCCTGCAGGCCTAGGGTAAGGCAACTCTTGTACTCTTATTGGGACTGGGGTCTGCATCTAAATTCTAGAAATTGGATTATGTGAGTATCACCATCATAATTGTGTTTAAAATATCTTGCCTCGCTAAAATTGCCAGCTTTTCCAGGATCAATGCCTAATTAAAGTGCTAAACCCATTTCCATGATCTTGCAAGTTCAGATATAAAAAATACCACGGATAACCACAAACATTCTGATTACAGTGTGATTAGCCTACTTACCCAAAACTTTTTGCAGCTCTTGTATTTTAAAAAGTACAGGGTGCACGCATCTCTATTGTAGTTATTCTTATCCATACATTTGCTAGAGGCATCTGCTTCCTTGAATATGAAACAAGATACACTTAAAAAGCCAATAGGGGACAAATATTAACTTCCCACATGTTTTAAATGCCACACATACTGGTTGAAATGCTGCTGAACAACAAAGCTGAAATTCTGTATGTACGAACTAAGTGGTACTCATTTTGCTTCCTCAGAAGATTGGTTCAAAACTGCAATCCTAAGCATATTTAGAAGAACGCAAGTCATGCTACACCTAAGAGAGAAATGCCCATTAGGATTACCCTGAAATTGAGAAGCTTATGAAGAAAGGACTCTCAACTGCTTTGCAGTTTTAAGTTCAAATAGATTGGTGCTCAGCCATCTAGATGAAGGTCATTAACAGCAGTCAGGATGCCTCTAAGTTACTTCCCAAATGGAAAAAACCCCAACAATCTGTGCCAAGAAATACATTGCAAATGCAAGAGTGATGGTTGTTTAAAAAAAACAAAAAACCACCAAAACTTATTAACCCAGGGGATCATCCAATCTGCCTACCAGGCACACAAGAAATCAAATCATTCTGTATTTCAGACCATATAATACTAAGAATGCCTTAAACTGATTATATAATTTAATGGGATCCTATCCCCCACATTAAAGTTTGTAAAAAACAACTGTACAAAACAAAGAAAAAAGTTAGTACAGAATGCGGAGTAGGAGAAAAATGGCTCTGTTTCACTCATTTGCAATGAATGATGAAGGATCACTATGTTCCTTCCTAGGACTAATAGGTGTTTGGGGTGTGGTTTTTTAAGGACCACAGATGTGATTATCTTTCTTTCTCCCTTTGACTTGTCTCAAAAATGTACAATTAGGACATATGTACTTGTTAAATACAATAAATCCTATTCTCTGGTGAACTATTTAATGATTCAGTGTTGTCAGATGAAATCAGTACCTCAAACTACAAGACAGAAAAATATCAAGACTGTGTGGCTTGAACCAAAAAAAATCTTGATTCTTTACGTATGCATCCGTTGTTCTCCAGCTGGCTGGTATTTTTGATAACAAATTTTAAATACCTTATTAATGAAAAGGAAAATATTTATAGTGACAAACAATTCTGTACTAGTTTGTACTTAAGAAGGCATCCTGGTGTACATTTGCATTTTTGACAGATGGCAACAAATTGGTTCTATTTATGGAACTTTACAAGAATACAAAAACTATTCCAATGTTTTAAAATGCCTAATAGTGTATAGCCAACTGAAATAACTTGCAAGCTTCAAACTACATAATAATACTAACAAAAAGAATCTGTTTACTACAATTCACATTCTTACCACAAGGCAGGGATTTATGTCATGATCTCGAAGTCGTTGCAGTTTTCTAGGCATAAAGATATTGGTTTGTGGTGGTACTTTAAAGATAACACCTAGAAGAAAGGAGGAGGTTTTAAAAAGCAAAACTGGCTTTCTCTTAATTAGGATTTAAGGCATTTTCCAAGGAGCGGTGCATATTATCAGCAGTACTTTTTTGCAGGTGGGGGGAAGCACATAGGTTCTCACCCCAAAATTTAACATTTGAATATTATCTTCATATACCACCACCAAAACTATAGATTTAATCCAGAGATCAAATTTCCAAAAGCCATCCTATGTGTTAATGCAGGCCAATGCTAGCAGCTAAATGGGTTGCTAAGGTGAGCAGGAAAATACAAGTTCCAGCCAAGTCACCTCTATGTAGAGTCATGAGGGTACTCTCAAACTGGGGCGAAATCCCATTTTTCCATGGTTTGAAACTGAAAAATTAGAAAGCAGAACTGAATAGCCCATTATTAATTATTTTGTCTTTCAGTAAGTTGAATTAATGTTTTAAATCAATGTTTTAAATTACTGTTTTACAGCCAATTCATACTTCTGCAAATCTCTTATAATTTAACAATAGTAAGGCTAGAAATTAAAGTGCTGCTCCTGGCTCAATGCAGATATGTTATCACAGGTTTTGGCTTGCACTTACAAATGTACAATAGGAAATCCACTATTTTTACTTTATTGTTAGAATTTATAGGATTAAGATTCATAACCATAGTTTAAAGCTGTCAGTCTGCTTTCATTTTCCATCTGCTTAGCATTCATAAATTCATTCCAATCTTCAAGGTCTAACAGCTTTCTGAGATGGAGCAACAACTGTAACTGTGCTAGAACTGTGGTTTGTTAAGTTAACCAGCTTAAAGCCATGGTCTGAACGATATCCTTACTTGGTGGCCCCTTGCAGCTGGTATGTGACCCAACACAAGTTTTTACAAAACATGTCTTTATGAAAATTATGACTGTGATGCTGTACTGAATGAGCAATACTTTTAGGACTTATGTAAGTAAAGTGCTTTCAAATTCTTAAGAAATGTAATCAGGGAGAGTGCAAACCATATCCCTCCCGCAATATGGTGGCAAGATTTTGATATAACAGAAGATTCATTCCTCTTACTTCTCATAGATTTCACATTTCTCTTTACTGCATTCAGTGGAAAACCAGTGAAATTTGAAAATGTAGTGCAGCAACATCAGGTGGGTCATAGGCTCCTCACCCCTGCCCCAAACATATTACTAACGTAAGACCGAACTATTATTTGAAGAGAATGTAGATATTTGTAATTAGAAACATATAGGCTTCAGTTTGGCTAGAAATGATTCCTCAAAGTAGAGCTGGAAGAATACTTCAAATAAGAAAAATGTTGGCCTCTCAGGGCGAGAGGCTGGGAGGAAAAAGCAAAGATCCTAGACAACAGCTGGGAGGAGCTTCTGTGAGTGGTAAGAGCTAAGAATTACTTTGAAGAGAGGACTCTGTATTTTATTTGTGCTATTTGTATCTTTTGTAGCTGCTATTTTTTTGTATTATGGAAAATATTTAATAGAAATCATGTTTTAGAAAAAAAGGAAGAATACTTCAGATTCTAGGTGCCAGCAGCATATTTTACAATACATCATCACTTCAGATTTTCCCATCATTATCACAGCATCATCTAAAAATCCATGACTCAGTATGCTTTATGAGAGAACTAAATACACTTTCATAAAACACTCTGAACAGCACTTTTAAAAACCTGCTTACTTTTATAATCTTACCAGAAATAATATTGGCAAGATACTACTAACATCTGCAAGGCATCCAAGAAACAGTACGGTCGCAGAGAGAATTTAGATTTAATTTTTTGGCCAGTATGACTAGACCAAGTCACACATCCAAGGAGGCTTGTATTCTAATGAGTACAATTCCAAACTTTTGGTTAAAATACATACATTGTTCACCAGCTAATCTGAATATTTGTTAAATTTGTAAACCACTTTCTCATCAATGGTGCTCTCTAACCCTGGTTCACCTTCTAAGCTTTGGTTTCATTTTTTAAAAGCATGCAAGTCTAGATATATGGGAACAAATCTACCTTCCTACAATTCCTTAAGCATTTTAATTTAAATTCTTAACACAGCCATTCATACTAATGTGCTGACAACATATATTTGTTCTTACATTTGTTCTACACCTCAGGTCTTTTTTGTTTTGAAACACCTAAATAATTTTTGCTTCTCTCACGTGGCAGTCATTAATTATAATTATTAGTAGAGTATTATCAGTAAAGATGAAAGCTTTGGAACCCACAAGGCTTTTTTTTTCGTGCAGTCATCACAAAAGATTACACAGCTTCCTCAACTGGATAACCTTGTCTATGGAGGCTAAACACTACATATAGTCCTATCCCTCTTGGCACACTTTAGGAATGAGGAGTGGATCCTCTACTATACTAGCTCCCTAAAGTAGTCATTCAGCAAGTTCCTCTTTTCAGCTAAAACATCTGCCAACCACACCTCTAAATTGAAAACTGCATCCCTCAAAAGGCAGCTCTTAAACTAGCACTTGAAATCCAGTTTCAAATCCCAATAAATTGCAGTTTTCCCACAGAAGGGGCAAGGTACATGACCCTGCCCTTATTTGGATGAAAGGCCTAAATCATAGTTCAGTGCTATGGAAACAGACCTTGATGAGCCTCAGACTTGTATCTCACCCAGTTCAGAAGAATTTGCTTTCATTTTCAATTGTTGTGCATTGTTATATCCATACAAAGAACTGAAGCTAGTTTTAACTGTGTTCTATCCAAATCCAAACAAGCCAGGATTGTAAAGCCTCAATTTGAAGTTAAAATGAATCCCAGTGTATCCCAGTGCACACTGACAAATCTTGGTTAGTTTATGACAGGAAACAAATGCTTTTGATCTCTTCCTTGTGGCTGCAAAGGAGAAGAGAACAGATGGGAGTGTGCTTAAGTCCAAAGCTGGCAAAGGCTCATTCCCGGAGTGTGAAACTCTAGTTTATCATTGCATCGAAATGATGCTATCTGTCTAGTTCTCTCTCACAAGGAACTTTTTCAACTGTTGGATAACAGTCCCAAGTTTTTCTAGATTACAATGAAGGTGTCTGTCTCTCATAAGGATGGGGGAAAGCCTAAAAATAATGTGCTAAGTACAAAACCATGTCAATTAAAAAAAAACAACTCAATGTGGTTTTGACAGGTTTGTCTTATATAGAAGGTTGGAGAAAAGAACTTGCCACGCTTTAACACCAATAGATTGTTTCCTGAAAGTGAAAGGCCACACACAACCCAAGGTACCGATAGCTTAAGTAGCCTAGATGTTCATCTAGAACAGTGGTTCCCAAATTTTTTGGGACACCACCCTCTTGATTCTTAACCTCATTCACAGTGCCCTCTACCCTACAAAAAAATTGTTCAGAATAGAACTTTTCACAACCCACTAAGAAGAAGAATTAACACAATAAAATCCAAGACACTAACAATTAAAACATTTATTCATAATTTGGGTTGCTGTTGTTGCACTATAATAACCCCTCTGAACAACAATAATACAGTAGCATTGGAGAAACATCACAGAATAAAGCTATCACTAATGCACTATTACCGGGACGCGGGTGGAGCTGTGGGTTAAACCACAGAGCCTAGGGCTTGCCTATCAGAAGGTCCCAGCTCCTGTCAACCTAGCAGTTTGAAAGCACATCAAAGTGCAAGTAGATAAATAGGTACCGCTCTGGTGGGAAGGTACACGGCGTTTGCATGAGCTGCTCTGGTTTCACCAGAAGCGGCTTAGTCATGCTGGCCACAACCCGGAAGCTGTACGCCGGCTCCCTCGGCCAACAAAGCGAGGTCCGCGACTGGACCTAATGGTCAGGGGTCCCTTTACCTTAATGCACAGAAGACTGCCAATCTGGAGGATCCCCCCCTCCAGTCTAACATACTGTCCCTTTCCAACCAAGTGATTTCAGGGAGGCCCAGCAAAGCTGCTTTCCCTACCATTTACTGAAACAGTAAAACTCAAGGCTGTCTCTACAGATGCCAGAGTTGGAATAGAAAAGAGTCGATGCAACATAAGAGTGGTGCAAAAAGAAAAATGAATGAATGAATGGGCGGGGCGGGGGAGCCAAACCGCTTTAGATTTGACGTCGAAGCCCCCCACCCTTATCTCTTTAGTTCCTGTCTCACCCGGCGGATGGGCTGGAGGGTGTGGGTGCTGCAGCGCCCAACCCACCCCGAGCCCTGGAGCAGCAGCTAGCTATAAGGGATGGGAGCTACAACATGCCGCGTGTCCCTTACACACCCATACCCCGCGCACCCACTTCAGCTGCCATGTCGGGAGCCACCGAGGGCAAAAAGGAGAAGGAAGCGCTTCCTGGCCCAGCCACAGAAAGGGCAGCGATGGGCGGAGCAGCCTCAGGAGGCGCACCTGGGCGCACCCACGGGCGCCTTGCACGGGCCTGCAGCCACCGCCGCCGCCGCCGCGGCCCGCCCTCCACGAGCCTCTAGCCTAGCGACAGCTCTCGGGGGCTGCTCCGCGTGGAGCCGCGGGGCCTGACGCTGCCGCGCTCCGTTCCCAACTCGCCCGCCCGGCAACGAAGCCAGGCGCCGGAGGGAGCGGGCGGGAGTTTGGCGCTGCCCTTTAGAGCGGGCGGGAGGTTGGCGCTGCCACGGCGAGGCCGGACCGGGCGCCCGGCGACCAGGCGGCTCCTCGGGAGGAGACACTCACCTCACCCGCCGTGAGGGAAACCGACTCGCGGGCTCGGGACTCGCTTCCAATTCGAAAGACGTCAGCGGCTTGGGCAGCCACCTTATAAGCGGCGCAGCCTACCCCGTTACTGCCCCGCATCCCTGCCGAAACTGACAGGCCCGGCGCCCAATCGCTCTCGCTGAGACGCTCTGAAAGACAGCTCCGAGCCCGCCGCCGCCGGGCCAATGCGCGCGCGGTTCCTCCTCTCCCTTCCCGGAGCGGCGTCCCGTCCTACCAACGGGGCGAGCCGAGAGCCCCGAAGTGGCCGCCTCCAGGGTGCGGCCAAAGGGCTGAGTGACAGGGGGAGGTGTCCAACCCGCGGCGCGTGTGGGCGGCTGGCGGTGTGGGCGCGGCGTGTGCGGCAGGCTGAGCTGCACCGCAGCGCATACACTACAATGGCTGCTGGAAAGAGGGGAAAGCAAACAATTTCCAGGCCCGCCGCGTCCAGCCCGAAATATGGGGAAAAAATTACAGAAAAATCGGAGAACCCTGTAAAAGGCGGGAAGAGGGCGCTGAGGGGATGCTGAGGCTCCCGCGGTGAGTCTGCTGCGGGTTTGGGGGTCAGGAGCCGGGGTTCAGCAGGGAAATATTAGGGTTATTTAAATTCTGAAGGGGGAGGAGGAGGAGAAGGGGGGAGAGCGGAGCGGCAGCGATGAGGGAAAGTTTGTGCGGCTCCATCTCCTTCCCCTGCACTCCTGGGCTGCGTCGCGCTTCTCGCGGGGTCCCCAGGAGCAGCCCCTCGAAAGAAAGCCTCGCTTTCCTCAGCTTTCGGACTTGGAGTTTCTCCTCTCCTCCGCCCCCCCCCAACTCCTTCAGTGAGGTTTTCACTGAGAGGATCGCACCCCCCCTCCTTCTTCCCCCTCGTTTCTTGTTATACAAACGGGGAGGCGGTTTTGCAGAAACTTTTTTGAGAAGCCCCCAGCCCCCCCACCCCGCTTTCCTCGCTCAGAGTCTCTCTCTTCTCTATCTCTCCCCCCCCCCCCCCAGCTCCGGAGCTTGTGCTTTGAATATAGTGACAGCAGCAGTAGCAGCAGCAGCAGCGAGGAGGGAGCGGAAGACATTAAGAGCCCGCGGTGCCCCAAAAATGAGAGAAAATTAATATAAATTCAGCCGTAGCACCAAAGCGGCCACATTTTGCGCAGAAATGTCGCGGGCGGGTTGCACTCTCGGGACGGGGCGGCGGGGACCCCGCGGCCAAAGCTTTAGGGGGCTCCCGAGTCGCTTTGGGGCGTGCAGCGCCCTTCTCCTCCCGCTTTTTATTGGACGAAAGTTTTTTTCTCTCCTTTCCCCCCCACCCCACCCCATCAAGAGACTAGCTTGCCTCCCGCCTGACTTGGACCGGCCGCGGAGGCTTTTCTTTCCCTTCTTGCGTGGGTACGAGAGAGGAGTTTGGGGAAGGCGAATGGAGGGTGGGTTGTATTGGGGAGGTGGGGGGGGGTTCCTCTAACTGGAAGCAGGAGAGATCTGGAGAGAGAGCAGGGACAGCTTGTTGTCAGTATCATAAACAACCAAAATGGAGGGAGAACCGAGGCATATAACAAAATAAAAAATAGCCCCAAAAAATCCTAAAAAATGCCCCAAATCGTCTCCGCCCCCCGGTTTCTCCCCTAAGAGATCAGGTTGAACCCCGCGTCCCCTCACGTCGGGGTTTCAGCTCTCAGAGAGCAAGGAGTTAAAACTGATGCCTATTTTTGTTGTTGATGACTGCTTTGGAAAGGCAAAAGCTCTTTTGCAGCTCGTTCCCGACAATGCGAGAACGTGAAAATCCCCTTTCTGCCTTGAATGGTGGTGGGAGGTGGGAATGCACGAGCTGCACAACTTTGGGGCAACGAGGAGCGATTGCACAGGAGATAAATGCTGCATTTGCCAACTTTGTACCTTCGTTTTCGTGCCCTTTGTTTGTTTGGGGGGGCACATGTGGGGGGAAAGGGGGGAGGTGGCGCGAAATGTAATACCTATGCATTGCTTTTCTCCCGACCCAATTATGATATGTAATGCAAAAAGAGCAAATATTTCCGATTTATGGAGTACCTTTTCGTTGCCTAAGGATCCCGGTGTTTGTGTCCACTGTCTGTGAAGTGCTTTCTGTTAGAGTAGTATGGATTGGAAGCAACGTGCCGTAGAGAGAAAAAAGAAAAATACACATAGTGAGACCACACTTTTGGAGGAGAACCGGGGCTTACTTTAGCATGCTTTTTCACCTATTTTGTATTCCGGGGAAGAATGTATTCTGCAATTTTCTCATGTTTATTAAAAAATGATGCCTCAACTTGCATCACATAGAACTAAACGCGAAAGTGCTGCTGATGTTGGTTTCCACGTGGGATCAGGGACAGAGCATGGTATCTTAAAGAGACAGCTCCTCTTTTCTTCTAGCTGTGCTCACCTATGCAGAAGTTCTGGCTAAAGTTGGCTTGGATTTGTTAAAGTGTAAAGTCATAAATCAAACTCTGAAGGCAAGCCAGTGGCTACTTATCCTGGTGGATTGCATTAAATCCAAGGGGGCTGTTGAGGTGTAAACAGTGATTGGCTTACCCCTTTTGTAGGAGAAATTGGTGGATATTGTTTGGATATTGCATTTATTATCTGTGATGCAACTCAAGATTTTGGTATGGTGGCTGAATTTTAATTCCATTGTTGTGTCTTGGATTTAGAATGGTGTGTGTAGAGATAGCCTAAATTATAATAATGTTCTGCTAGTTTTCAAGTCGCTGGAAGAACACAAGACATATAGTGGACTTTATGGTATAATTTTAAAGCCATTTTGCAGACATTGACAACTTGTTTGGATAGCTTCTGTTTCATTCCATTGATTTAAAATACAAACCTGTTCATATTTCAAACCTGCAAGTAGTGTTCAAAGGATCTGAATTTCAAACCTGCAATGTTCAAGGGGTTAGAATACATGCAGTGTTCTAAATTGCGCTATTACAGATTTGTGTAATGTCTCTAGATTTGGTTTTATTGAAATACATTCTAATTTTAGGTTAAATCTTACATAGTTGTGCTTTTATTATTTGTTGGACAGTAAATTTTTGTTAATTGAAACAGATTCCAAGAAAGCATCTATGATAGATGTTGCTGTATCTTTGACTTATAAATGTGTGACTTCCATGATAAGAAATGTTATCTATAAAGACTTGGCTTAAATGTTTAAAATGCTGCTGGGTAGTAAAATGGTATTTCGGAAATCTATTGTCTCAGATCTTGTGTTTCTTATGCACAATTACATTTTCATTTCAAGTGATTTGCTCTTTCACTGTCTTGATTTAAATCTAAATTAAACTCTTGCTAGCACGTATTCTGCTCAAAGAGATGGACCAAATCTTGAGAGAAACTACATCAGTTATACTTTCTTTTGTTCTTTATATACCAAATCAATTTTCTGCTCAATGTGTAACCTGTTTCTATTCACTTTTATATAAGTCTCACTGTGTTGAGGGGCTTGATTCTCCAGTGTACATAAGATTTCATCATTTGTTATCATAGATGTCTTGTACCTTTATTGCATTATGTAGTGGACTATTGTCCTGGATAATCCTGTGGCTTCAGGTGAAAGCACCTTGTTTTCCAGTGACACAGTCCCCAAAATTAAACTGCGTCATTTATTCTTAGAGAATGGATTTATACAAATTGTATAGTAATAATAATGTGTCTGTGGGAGGGGGTTATTGGTTTGTTTTTATTGTATTTTGTGTTCTCATTTTGTATTTTTATGTTGTGAATCACCTGTGATCTTTGGGTGAAGGGCAGTATACAGGTTTAATAAATAATAGTAATAATCAGCTCATAAGGGGAACATTGATCTGTTAACATGGAGTTGTATACACATTTATTTTTTATTGAAAACAACTCTATTTTTGGCATAAACGTTATCATTTAAATCAAAATAGAAAATATCTGAAAGCAAACTTGGCAAATGGCTGATGCATGCCATATGGTTTAAGAATGTCACATGAATTACTAGTGTTTGTACATCATTTTCATCTACCAGTAAAGATACTAGGTTCATAAGTGCACCTAGCATAATAAGCAGAAATTTAGCTTGTAGTCAGTTCTTATCCTAAATACATTTGATACAGCATGCACGTTTTATCACAGGCATTAACCATAACAATAAGTTTGTGGCATGAATTGTTAAGCTCAGAAGTCAGAACACATGAAGTCTGGTGGCTTTTCCTAATCTAAATTTTAAAGCTATTTTGTAGATATACAGAAGTACAAAACTTGCATTTGGATCTTTAGATGTATATACAGATCTGCTGTACAATTATTAAGTATCATGGTAAAAGCATTGTGGAAGAAATACATTTTTCTGAAAGCACAAATTACAATTTTGCTTTCTTCCTCTGTCATGAAAGTTCTCCATCATATGCAAATTTAATGCCTTTAAGTTTGAATACTCATTCCAGTAATACATTTAACAGTAAGGAGACTGAGAAAAGTAACTGTTAGTAGAAAAATAGCCTGAAATATGCTGATAAAGCTGTATTTATCTTTGAGAACTATTTTGTTAAAACTATGGAGCACTTGCATATAATTTTAGTTGATTGGTTAAAACAATGTTCTATGAAATTAGTTGAATTTCTTATAATTCATATAATGTAGATCCATTATTATATACTATAGATTCTGCAGACAGATTCCAAGGTGTCTTGAGTGAATCTTATTGGCCAAACTACTTTGTGACACTACTTGCCTTAAGCAAAACCTTTGAAGTCTAAAGTAGTTTTTGAGCTTTTCATTGTAAGTTTTAAATGTTGGTGTATATAAATATAATTGTAATTAATTGTCATCTTCTTATTAAGCTTTTTTTTTTTTGTCAAAATGGTGACTCACCACCACAATTTTACTTTGTTAATACATATATTTGAAGTTGCTCACTTCATTGCATTCAGCTGATTTATTCATGTTGAGAGTTTGCTATGGAGTTGGAGTACTCTTAGAAAAGCACCTTGTAGTGGTAAAATCCTCTGCCACTAATAGTGACAATTTTATGCACTTAATGATATACCATAAAAGCATACTGAAACATTACTTTGATTATAAGAAACTTATATTTTGGGGTATAGTCTTCAAACCCCTTTTGTGGTTCACTATACTGTAGTGCTAAAAGGAAAATCTGAATATATGTTGATGGTATGCTTCTGAAAGCAAATATCTGCAGATACCATTCATTTGCTTTAGTAGAAAGATTTAATAGCTGTCCAAATGAGCTGTTGACCATCTTTAACCAATTTCTAACTATTTAGAAAGCCTTTCAGAACAATGTAAAATAATTCAAATATGTGAACAACGTAATATTTTGTACTGATCTGACATACAATATGTGTTTGAAATCTAACACATGATGGATGGTTGCTGCATTAAACAAGTAAAAAAATTCAGTAATAGATAATATATTAGGAAGAAAACATATATATAATTGTAGTTCAGTTCTTGATTTGGAAATGTCATGGATTTGTGAATAGAATCAGTAGACTGAATATGTTGCTTCTTTATTGGAAATTTTAGTATTTTTCTTTGCTATTGCAAAGATTTTATTTGCTATTGCATAAGTAGCAATTAGAATATTCTGTGCACTGTCTTACCCAGCACTAAGTCAGCCTTTAAAATATTAATGTTTGTTTTTATACATAATTGTTTGATTGGTATCTTATATACTAGCTACCTATCCTTTGCATATATATTTTTCAGTATGTCTTAGGACTTGGCAAAAATAACTTTTGGAATCTCATATCTAAGAATTCAGTTTCCAAAAAGTGTTTATATCAGTTGAAAGTTCCATGTTCTTTGATCAGAACAATTGTTAGAATTCATATAATCTATGGATTGTGCTTTAATTTGCTTCAAAATTGTTATCAAAGTTAATGTGAGTGCTGGGATTTTTTATATGTAAGCTGAATTCAACAAGTAGGAAAGATGATGCAGTCATATTAACATTAGTTAGTTTATAAAAACAGGTTTTTTTACCTATCTCAGTATGTTTAAATATATATTCTCTGAACTTGCTGTATTAAAGAATGTACATAGTAGCAGAATGTTTCATATGTATGCATATCTCTTGCCAGATCTATATCCCATTAAATGTTAAAATGTATGAGTATAGTAATAACTGGTATAATTTCCAAGAAGAAAATGAAGCAGGTTATTTGCAAGACAGCATAATTTCTTAATTCAGCTCTTTTTAAATTGAATGTGTTCTAAGACTAAGCTATAATATTCAAAATGGAATTCATACATCTTGCATTAAATAAATGAAGTATTAAGAACTTAACAAGAAAACATAAAGAGAATTAAGAAAAATATACTTTTAAAGAAAAATTAGGAAATTCAGCATGGGGAGAAAGTGTCTGGCCATAAGCTGTTATAATCTTATTTGCACTTGTTGAGCCAAAAGTGTTGCTTTGTGGAGAATATCCCTAGAAATCAGATTAGAAAGTGTTTAATGGGAATTAGTTATCAGCTTTTTTATGGACAAATACTACTTTTATAAAAGCTAAGATTTGATTCATATGTTGACAAGGTGAACTGGATTCATTAATTTTTAACATATCTTTAATCTTGAATACTGTGATAATGTCCCTCCCACAATAACATCAAACTCAAAATTACTATGGTTACATTGAATTTCTGCCATTTAAGCAGATTTTAAGCATGGATCTCTGATTTTAATTACAAAAGCAATTACTTATTTGTAGCTACTATGTTAATTTTGCAAAGTGCTGGTCAAGTAACTAATAAAGTACTGTGTTACAAAATGTATTTTTCCATTTGACAAGTGCAATAGGGATAGTCCAAGCTTATTTAAATATGTTCTTGAATAGTTGTTTCTTTCTTTAATGTGTTTCCTTAATGAGAGATGGCTGCAATGTTCTGCAATTACATTTTGAGAAGTGAAAGAAACTTGTTTTGTTAGCGTATGAGATATATATTATATGTTATAAAGTTATATGTATTGTACGATAGCATATAACGTATCCTGAATATACTATGCTATTGTTATCATAAGGCTCTTAAAGATATTTAAGTTACGTACTGGTGATCAAGATTTGTTCAGCCAAGAGAACCTCATTCATATGTGTTTGTGTGTGTAGATAGATAGAAAATCATACAAAACATTTTTGTTCTAAAAGAGTAGGAATATTTTTATACTTAATATTAAATGTCAGTTGTTAACTTTACAACTGGTAAATTATGTTCTAAATATTATTTGGAGTGTAAATAATTGTTTAAAATATGCTTTGGGTATTAAATAGTTGTATATATTTTTATACTAAAAGTTTTCTTTAAAATGCTGACATTTTTGATTGAGGTTACACAGCAAATCATTTAGTATTCTTAACTAGCACAAAACTATTATTTGCATGTTCAGAATAGATTAGTCATAGTAATAGTAACATTACTAAGTACAAACAATTTAAAAAACTTTCTGGAACTAAACTTTTCTGTCAAGTCAAACAGATATTGTTAAAGCTGATTGTGCTTGTTGGAAGAGAGTGTAGTTGATGCAGGTTTAATCGCTTTCCTCTAGGGGACTTTTAAGAAACTATGAACCATGCATCTAAAGAGCAGATGCAGCATTGCATGCTTATTGAAAATGCCAGTTCAGTTGGATCGTGTATTTTTTTCAGTGTCAACATTAGAAATATGTATAGACTGAAGTATAAGAACTTTCCCATAAACAGATAGAAAATGCATTTCAATCCATTGAGAGAGGATACTGTTGTTGTTTGAGCAAGCAAGCAAGCAAACAAGCAACTTTAATAGTAATTAGATACATATAGCTTGATAGTTGCCTTTTAATGTTATCATTAATAAAAACTGTGATTTTATAGCATGCTCTGATCCTGAGACTTGGAGTGGAGAAGAAATATTTTTAATTCTCAAACCTACAGAAGGCTAAATGATTTCCCACAGTTACTCAAGGAGTCTGTGGCTGGGCTGATTGCTACTAAAGTCCAGATACATTACCAAGTAAAGATTAGTTTGAAACAAGAAAATAAATTACTTTAATAAAAAGGTCAACTGTATCCAATATGCTTACTGATTTGTTTCAGTAACCTAATTTTGTTTAAACACCTAACCACCCTAGCTCCTGATAACCGTCATTGCTTTCTTGATTGAGACCATCTGCCAAATAGCAACGCTTGCCAGAGAACTACCAAGCAGAGGTGGCAGTGGTGAATATTGGACCCATGGAGATATAAGCGGCACTTCCATAAAACAGTGAGTTTCAGTGGTGGGGTACTGCAGCAGAGGCAACCCCAAAGGGTATGACACCAAAGCAAGGGTTCTGCTTTAGGAAGGTGCAAGGGCACTATTCTTTTGGTTTTAGTGGCTGCATGTGCCCATTTGAAGGATTCCTGAGTTGGAATACAAATCTTCTGAGTGTTGGGATAGGACCTACACCTATGACCAGGTGAAAGCTTGATAATGGAATCCTTCAGCTAGGGTGGAGGATTCAACTGGGATCTGTTTACAGTATGAGTGCTGGGTGGTTTGAGAGTATGTGTGGCAGTTGTGGAAATAGAATGGGATAGGAATAGGTTTGATGCATTGACTGCTAGGTGGTGGTAGTAAGTGATTGATGAAAAGTTGGCTTGTATAGATATTCTTGGGGATTATGGGCTGGTAGTGGTTGGATGAGATTGTGTTGAGTGTTTTTATGTTGGTACGGTAATCCTGTATGTGTTTAACTGGATATTGAGAATTAATATTGTAAGGGTGGATGGAGCAGAGTCATGATAGTTTTCTGGGATGTGCCTGGGGAGGTCAGTAGGCTTTCCTTGATTCCATTGGTTACAGGCAGAAGAAATTATGACACTGGAGAGCAGACATACCATTTGCAGAAAAAGGGACACAGCCATGTACAGACTGTGTCCCTTTCTGATCTTTCCCTTATCTCTTGTCTTCTAGTAGCTTGATTGTTGGGCCTTCTGCTCCAACAATGAAGATGTTTAACACCAGTTCGGTTCGCAATAACACCATACTCACGAGGGAGCCATTCTGGGATGCGTTTCTGAGACATATGTGGGCTAGATATCAAGAAAGTGTGTTCACCTATGTACTTTCTACAGCACCAGCTGAATCGGATAAACACACATGTGCGAGTTGGAGTTGTTATAGTCCATATAATTCATTTATCTGGCTAATAAACCTCCCTGATCTGGAATGGGCTTTAAGAGCCTACTATTTGGCCATCAAGACAGACTGGGAGTGTTGCTTGTGTACCCCTAACCCTTCTGGACTGAGTTTGCTAAGGTGGTGTTGAAGAACTGTTATTCTGAGGACTAAACATCCATGCTGGCTTTATAACCTCCATGACTGTCTGTCTGTCATTGGCAAACAGAGATGATCACACCCTCAATCTTGTGTTTGATTCAGGGCAGGTGGGAGTGAGAGTCTAGAAATGGAGAAAGGTGTCCTGATAAACCCATTGTTATGGTCAGACCATTTCTTGGTAAGCTTTGTTCTTATATTACCAGTTCCCCCTTCAACGATGGGACCCCCATTAAGATCCATGGTGCAACTAGAGGTACCTCAGCCCAATGAGTCCCCAAATGCATGGTTTTTGTCCACCATGAACTGTGCATTCAGTATTGTAAAGCCAACTTTGTAGAACTCCCTTCTAATTGAAATCAAACAGGTGCCCTATTCTTTTTCACAATTATATTGATTGGATGGTCTATAAATATTTGTTACAATCCAGTGAATTCAGTCCCAAATTCCATTGGAATTGGTTTATTTTGGTGCACAATAACTCCGTTTTGCAATATGATCACTTACATTTTATAGGTCATAAAAACCAATTAAATCATTGTGCAGGTGAAATGGTTTCCACAAGTGCAACAGTACTTCTCACTCTCCTCCCCCTACAACACCCTCTAATCTGCTCCAGAGGGCTGAGGGAACCCCACAGAGCAGATCTGGGAGGTATTTGGATGAAAGGGAAGGGAACTGTCATTGCACTAACAGAAGTTGTTTCATTTTTGCAGTGATTTAGTTGGGTTGAAGCCATGAATTGGAATCCAGTTGGTGCCCCTCCCTTTCACTTGATGATGAAAGAGTCCCTGTTTTGCCTGAAAGATTGTCTACAATAGTGCACGGTCTTAGGGCAAATAATTTTGATGTGTTCATTATGATCAAAGAAATGTGTATAATTTTGACTGGTATTGTGTAATAAATGAATAAAGTGAGTTTTCCAAGGCTTGAAGTCCTGCAAAGTCATGAAGCTTGTTTAAGTTAACTTAGGCAAGTTTTTCCTCTCAACCTGTGTCAAATGTTTCTGTGAGGATAAATGAATTTGGGGCCCAGCATCCTGAAATTAAGTGACAAATCTGAATTGGGTTGACATTCCCACTTATCAAGAAGCTCATTACAGAGCATTTTTATTGTTAGATTATTCAGCTATGCCACACTATTCCAAGTGCTTTCTAACTTGTATGCTTTTTAATCAAGGACAGTGATAACATCATGTATGCATACAAAAACCTGAAATCCTAGATGTCTTTCAGCAGGAATGGGACTTGCTTTTAAGAAAATAGTTCAACATTCACCACCAGATTCACTAAATAAACTGAAACCTGCTACTTCAACAGAAACAAATGTTTTTATCCAAGTTTCATCAAACACATGCCTCAGTAAGAATTTAAAGGAATCTGGTACTTATAGCACTTCTAAAAGTATACATGTGTCTATGCATTTGTAGAAATACACTGTAATTTCGTACCATTCTAAGTGTTAGATAAGAGAGTAATCAAATACAGTGGTGCCTCGCAAGACGAAATTAATCCGTTCCACGAGAGTCTTCGTCTAGCGGTTTTTTTGTCTTGCGAAGCAAGCCCATTGACGGATTAGCGCTATTAGCGGTTTAGCGGCTATTAAAGGCTTAAAGGCTTAGGGGATTAGCTGCTAAAAGGCTATTAAAGGCTATTAAAGGCTTAGCAGATTAGATAAAGGGGGAAAAGCGAAAAAAAATCTCAAGACTCGCAAGGTATTTTCGTCTTGCGAAGCAAGCCCATAGGGGAATTCGTCCTGCGAAGCAACTTCAAAACGGAAAACCCTTTCGTCTAGCGGTTTTTCCGTCTTGCGAGGCATTCGTCTTGCGGGGCACCACTGTATCCATGCAACCTTTTCCATGTGGTTACCTGCTCAGATGTTTCCATCTTCAATTACTAGATTTTAATGCCAGAACTAATGTTAGTTGAATAGTGAGCCTATTCACAGAAAAGGTATACATGCTAATTCTGACTAGTGTGAGATATTATTTTTAATGTTTTTATTTTATTAGTATACAGCCCTTCATCTGAAGAACACATGGTGGTTCATAACATAAAAATACAAAATGACAACAATACATAATTTTAAAAACCCAATAACTCTGCTTTCCACAAACACATTTAATCAGCCAAAGGACTGGTTATAGAGAAACATTTTTGCCCGGTGTCCAAAGAAATGTATTGAAGGTGCCAGATTCTCTGGGAAGAGCATTCCACAAATGGGGAGCCATCACAGAAAAGGCCTGTTCTCGTGTTGCCACTCTCCAGACCTTGCGTGGAGGAGGCTCATGAAGAAGGGCATCAGAGGATGATCTCAGGGTCCATGCCAGTTCATATGGGGAGAGGGTGGTCTTTGAGGTATTGCAGTCCTGATCCATTTAAGGCTTTACAGTGATACCTCTGGATGCAAATGGGATCCGTTCCGGAGCCCCGTTCACATCCAGAAGCGGACGCAACCCGCGGGTCACGATTTGCCGCTTCTGTGTATGCGCATGATATCATTTTGACCGTCTGCACGAGCGGCAAAACCCAGAAGTAACACGCTCTGTTACTTCCGGGTCGCCGCAGCACGCAGCCTGAAAATACTTAGCCCAAAGCTACTTCAGCCCGAGGTAAGACTGTATAGGTAAAAACCAGCACTTTGAAATGGGCTGGGAAACTAACTGGCAGCCAGTGCAGTTGGGCCAGGATTGTTGTAACATGCTCAAACCTTCTTACCCTGGTGAACAACCTAGCCACCAAATTCTGCCCCAGCTGAAATTTCCAATTCACCTACAAAGGCAGCCCGTTGTAATCTAACTTAGAGTTTACCAGAGCATAGACAACAGAAGTTTGGCCATTCCTGTCCAAATAGAGGTGCACTGGGCCACTAGCTGAAACTGATGGAAGGCACTCCATGCCACTAAGACCACCTGAGCCTCAAGTGACAGCGGTGTGTCCACTGCTTCCATCTGGTCTAGGGAACCACCCACTAACATTGCCTTGGTCTTATCTAGATTGAGCTTCAGTGAATTGGCTCTCACCCAGTCCCTTATCAAGGCAGTCCAGCACATCCACAGTCGCACCTACAGATGTAAAGGAGAAGTAAAGCTGTGTGTCATCAGCAAATTGCTGACAATGTACTCCAAACTTCTGGATAATCCCACTCAGTGGTTTTCAGTAGCTTAAGGGTGGGGATTGAATCCTGAGGAACTCCACATTGAAAGTTTCATGGGGCCGAAGAGCACTCCATAAGCATCATCCAGAGTGCAAATGGTTGCACTGACTGTTCCAAGCCCCTTGTTCACATTCTCGAGCCTTACAGATGAACTCTCCTGAGTTACAGACTTGGTTATAAACTTACAGAATATTTTCATAGCTCTGTCTCTGAATTTGCCAAGCACTGTGAATTTGCCAAGTGCTACTGAGACTATATGGTTCAAATAAGATAGTTGATTGGAGTTTTGCAGAGCAGCTGAAGTCCAGCTTAAGTTTCACCATTTGATCACCATCCTGTCTTACACATACAAAATATACAGGAATTTAATTTGTACTTCATAGTTTGTTGATGGACCAATTCAAGTCAGATAATGTTTGCCACTGACCTCTCAATAATGGAATAAACTAGCTCACAGAATGTTCAAATGGTTCTATTAGTTTGCAATCTGATAATATTTAAACATTTTGTGGGCTAGTATCTGACTGGGGTTGGTACTTGATTACAAAAGTCTGTGATTAACATAACCTGCAAAATAGTGTCTGCCAACTAAGCATGTGCTCAGGCTTCTAAAACAGCTGCCAAGACAGTTGCCTATTTTGTTGCTTTGATAAGCTAGTACCATTTAAGCAAAATGCACACTTGGAACTTGCTGGTATGAATAGCAAGTGCTAAAAGCACCTCCATGCCCTGTCTTTTACAGATGTGAGTGCTGCAAGGGCATGAGGCTGCACCTTCTCCACAGTGATGCCCACGTAGTGGAACACTTTGCCAGCTAAGGTATACCTGTCCTCATCTCTGTTAGATTTCTCTTGGTGGGCTAAATTTTTATTGAGAGTGTTTACTGATGTCTGAAAACTGCTATGTATCCTTGATTTTGTATGGAATCTTGCCTAGTTCTGTTTATTTTAAAATCTCTCTTTTTTTTTAGATGGCTTTATTTTTATTTATGACTGGGTACCACTTTGCTGTTTTTTTAAAGGCTACAACAAATGTGGGCATGTTAACAAAAGCCAAGTTTTTTCTTATTGCTTACTTATTGCACCACTTACCTTGAAAAGTAACAACAATGGGATGGGGGTGGGGAGTGGTGAAATGTAGATTTACTCTTTGACTAGTGATGTTTATAAATCTCTAGGTGGGTGGCGGAAAGATAGTGTGATAGTAGTTTGGGGTATCAAAGGACCTTGCAGACCAGATACAGTGGTGCCTCGCAAGACGAAAAGAATCCGTTCTGGGAGTCTCTTCGTCTAGCGGTTTTTTCGTCTTGCGAAGCAAGCCCATTGACGGATTAGCGGATTAGCGCTATTAGCGGCTTTTAGCGGCTTTTAGCAGCTTATCAGCTAATCGGATAAGCAGATAAGCGGCTTAGCGACTTAGAAAAAGAGGGGGGAAAGGGGAAAAAAAACGCAGGAACTCGCAAGACATTTTTGTCTTGCGAAGCAAGCCCATAGCAGATTCGTTTTGCGAAGCACCTCCAAAACGGAAAACTCTTTCGTCTAGCGAGTTTTCCGTCTTGCGAGGCATTCGTCTTGCGGGGCACCACTGTACCTTGTTTGGCATGTAGGCACCATAACATCTTACAGAAGTATCTACTGTAGATACTGTAGTTAGCTCAATAAACAAATTACAGTCAACTTATTTATGGCAATACTTTGTGCTTTACTTCCCATAATTCGTTCATTGAGGGTGGTGTTGTCAACATCTGATGCTTGCCATGCTTTGTGCCTGGATAGCTGCTGGTTGTCATCCTCCCTAGTGTTGTTCTCTAATATTTATTTCTTATTTAAAGCATCTTTAAAACCAGATATTCAGCCAAAAGAGCTTACAGATCAATAAAAAAATTCAGGCTTACAGTCTTAAAAATGTAGCACAGAAGGGGGATGAGAAAGAGGGTAAAAAAGCAAACTGAAAGACGCCTTCATCTTAAGAGTTCCCCCTCCCCACAAAAAAAACTTAAATTAAAACCCAACCTGGCTGGGATGGAAGCAGTTCCAGAAAAGGAGGAGCTGAAATGATCTGAGGTCTCAGGATTGGTTATGGAATGGTAAGTGGTGTTGCTTCCCATGTGTATTTGTAAGTTTTGAGAAATAGGGGATATAAGAATAAGTCATACTTAAAATAGACCTGTTGAAATCAATGGATTTAAGTTCATCATAACTAAAGTCAGTTGTTTTCAATAGCTCTACTCCGACTGTGACTTAGTCTGATAATACCAATAGTGATTAAATAGAAGAATGTAAGAGACCTGAAGCATATCAGATCCAACATCCTGTTCTTGTAGTGGTCAATGAGATGCCAAGGGAAGCCTGCAAGCATGACCTGAGTGCAGTAGGACTCACCACTTAAGCCCCCTACCAACAGGTATTCAGGGCATGTTTCCTCTGCCTCTGGAGGCAGTATATAGCCATCAGGGCTAGTAGCTATTGATACTCCATGAATTTGCTTAATATTTAAAAGACATCACTGCATCTTGTGTGCTGTGTGAAGAAGTGCATGCATTGTTTCATCTGTCCTGAATCTTATAACATTCACCTTCATTGGATGGCCTTAGATACTATGAAAGAGAGGGTATTTCTCCCTGTCCGCTTTCTCCACATCATACATAAATCTGTATACTTCTATTATGTCCCCATTTACTCACCTTTATACCTTTTGTTAGTAGTTCTAGATCCTTGATCATTTTGGTTGCTCCTATCTGTAACCTTTCCAACTCTACAATATCTTTTTTGAGGTGAACTGTATATAGTGTAGTTGTACCATAGACTGTGATATTAGCAGTCCCTTTCCTAATTATCTCCAAGGTGGAATTCACCCTTTTTCATAACTACTGAACACTGGTTTGGCAACTTCATTCCAAAGTCTCATTCCTGATCAGTTGCCACCAATTCAGATGTCATTAGCATATATAAGTTAGGAATTTTGTATCACCTTACACTTAAACTGAATTGCACTTGCCATTTTAATTCCCATTCTTCCAGATTGGAGAGAACATTTTGGAGCTCCTAGCAGTTTCTTGCTTTAATTAAACCATTAAAGGATGCCTCTGCTGAGACACTAGCTGCATTCCACCCAATGTTTTTAAAAGTAGGAACTGTTAGTTAAGTTCAGTCCTAAGTTTGGATGTCATTGGCATGAATTTCTAAACTTTTAAGACTTCTTTGCCACTTCCCTAGCAATAGTATAACTTGTGAGGATTATCTAATTAAAATTACAAGTTGAATGAAATACCACTTTTGACAATTCTCCTGGCACTGTTATTGAGTCTTCTGAAAGAAAAGCACTGCAGTTTTCTGTATTATCTGTGGTACTCCTTTTTAGATTATTAGCACACATGTACATTTTAGGAGTTCTTAAAATCTAACTCCCACAAGCTTCTTTCAATAAACTTATACCACATTATTTTAATGTGGTATTGTGCTTGTGTGAAAAAGTGAGAGCCCGGGGTATATAGGATAGCAGCTGCCATAATTTTAGTTGATTTTCAGCCTCTGGATTAGTTCATTAGGTTACTCTGACCTGCAGATCTAGTCTGCTCACAGATCAAGGGAAAATGTGGATGCATAAATACTGAGCTGTATGTAAGCACAATATGAGACTGTAGGAAAGTGTAGGACTTACGTAGTATGGAATTAAGGTAAAGGACCCCTGAATGGTTAAGTCCAGTCAAAAGCAACTATGCGGTATGGCGCTCATCAGGTGTCATCTATTTCCACGCTTGAGTGAATGTATAAGCACCATGGCTCTTTTCTGAAACTGAAGGCTATACCATCCTAGCATAACTGATTCTGAACTATGGATGCAAATATTAAGTAAGCATCAGTATATTTTTAAAATGTATTTGAACTTGCATTCGGCAGGGCATGTATAAAACATCGGGGGTAAAATAAAATCACATACCTTTCTGCTAATTGCAAATTATTTGACAGTTGTGACGACACATCCATAGAAAATATGGGCTTGATACCATATTCACTTTTATGTGCACCCGTTTTTAAAATAGAGCTGTACAATTCCCCTGCAAATTAAACGCATTGTGGGTTTTTTGAGAGGAAGCCTATTGAATGGAACAGCTTACCTGCCAAAACTCATCCATCAAAAGGAATTTCACACCAAACCACTATATTTGTCATTTGGTTGGCCAACTAAAAGCACAGCTGGAGATCGCATTATATTGTCCAGTTACTTTATGCTGAAGCTCTGTGGGGACAGTAAGCAGTCAGAAAGATTATTTGGGATCATGAAGATGTAATAGTATCTAATGGTATAAAACTTTTAAGTGTGGTGCTGGTTCAGTCATTTTACTTTATATTCCATCTCATGTAAAAGGATCTTGGTTTTCTGTATAGGAATTGGTCTGAAGTATTGACCCAGGGTATGCCTGATCTGAGTTAGTAATCACAGAGACTGGTGGCAGTGACAAGTGGAGATTTCTGCTCTGTGCTAAAACAAAGAGACAAGAGTTTGCATTCTAAATCAGAGGAAATTATTTCACACACAGTGGTAAAGCAGGGGAAATTAAGATAGCTATGCCATGAGGGTGAGTGCTCCCTATGATATTTGACACCTTTCCCCATTATTGATTTATAACTAGCCTCTGATGCTATTGACCACCATTCTCTTTTTTCACCCACCCACCTGAGTACTATTTATTTCTGTACTTCTTTTCTGTTATCACTTACCCTTCTGCTTTCCGTTGCAGTCATCCAGGGTTCTGTTTTCAGCAATTTGCCTTCTTTAGGGTCAGTTTTTCAATTCTTTAAGTGGGTTTCCCTCTTCTGATCCAACGATCAGCTTCATGTAGACCGGTTGTAGCAGTGTCCTCTGAGAGTCTCATGAGGTTTGCATGTGCAGAGTAGGGCAAAGTGAGCATGTGAGCCCTGGAAGAAAGAAGCAGGGAACATGCAAATACCTGAGATGGCCCAAAGCATGGAGGAGTGTGACACTTTGCAAAGAATCTGACTTTGCAAGTAGCAGATGCCCTGCTCTGAAGTCTGTATGAAGAGTTCTCCCATGGAAATTGAATGAACTGTACCACCTCTGCCCATGAACTCCACTCACATTATGACTCAGCATCCTGAGTACTTAAGTGCACTGTACCTACCTTGCCCCAAAAGTGTAACCTGTGGATATGTGCTTACTTGCTGCACACACTCTTCATCAGGTCCCCTTCTATAAGGTCTCCTTGCTGGACCCTGACATGCAAATAACAATGCTGCTTCCTCTATGATTCTCATAACTGGCCCCCTTCTAGCCGCGCTCTTTTAACCATACAGCAACTTGGGGGAGCATCTGGGTGCACAAATTGTTATGTTCACTGCAAAAAGGGCAGGACTCCCTCCACCCACCAGTGGGCAAGCATGTTGCCACTACCAGTTGCAGACCCCAAAGTGTCACAGTAGACCTGCCCAAATTCCTAGCCCCAAGGAAATTTGCCTGCTTCTTCAGTAACCAAACCCATCTAAAACTTAGACACTCCCCCTTTACTCCCAGCACCTTAAGAAAGGAGGTGGCATGGGCATAGCAAGAAGTCCAGAACTGGCACGACCAAATACTTATTTAGAATGAGGTATATATAGCATGCTCATTGTTGCAATGTACTAGTTGATGTTAGAATTCTTTTAACCTATGGAATATTATCCCAGCATTACAGGCACTGACTGATACGGGTACTCAGAATTTGTTTTTCTACAGAGATTGACGTTTAAAAGTGGTTAATATTTAGCCCATAGGGACACCGATCTGCACACAGATGTCCCACGTGTACCAGACCTTTTCCTACAGTTCCTAAGCAGGTTTCTCACATGTTAACTTCCTATATTTCCTAACACTAGATTGTTAAGGTAATTTTTATCTGTGATCAGCTATGCTGAAACTTTATAGCTGACAAGCTAACTAAATAGGCTTTGAAGCACCTAACAATCATTCTTATCGATCAGTCAGTTATATTTCTGAAACCAGTTTATTACTTTTACTTATAAATCTTAATTTACAACATTGCATTCCATTAAGTTCAGTTACATTTTAAATACAGGCAGTGACCTGTGCAGGGGTTATGTTCTGAGGTACTGCACGCTTACGTGAAATTGTGTATAGTCAGAACACCCATTTTAAAAGCCTGCAAACTCCCCATTTTACCCCTTTTTGTGACTTTTGGGTCACTTTGAGTTTGGCGTGATGTGTTCATGCACAGTCACACACATATTGGACATTCCTAAAATGGTCACTGCCTGTATAGTCAGAACACATCGCATTCAATGACAGGTGGCATTGCCAAAGTCTTTTCTGGATATCCACCCCCTTGGTATTTATTCTTTATTTTTTTTGCCAAGTATGGAAAGCTGAATGCACACAAGTTAAAAGTGTGTAAGTTGTGAGCTTTAGCGTACATGTTGTTGCATTTTTGTGGTCAATTACCAGGTCTCCATTAGGTACAAAAAAGATAAAGTGGCAGTGCTATTTGCAAAAGAAAGCAGGGGGCTTTTCAGTGGAAATGTAAAAATTAAAATATAAGATGTCTGCTGAATCTTTATTGGCAGAGCATTCTAGAACTGTGTCAGTGCAATTTCTTATTGCTGTCAGGTGAGCTTTACCAACTTTGGGAGATGACTAACAATGCTCTTGCAGATGAACTCAGTGATTGAGCTGAAATATAAGGTACCCTGGATCTCTCAAGTTGTTCAGGGCTTTGCGAATCAATGAACATGACATAGTAGTAAATGGATAGCTAGTGAAAATGTTTTAACAGTGGTGTCACGGTGTCGGCCATGCACCCCTATCTGTATGGGCTTCCAAATCAGGAACTTCCAAAGCCCCATATAGAATGCATTACAGTAATCCAGCCTTTAGGTTGTTGTTGTTTATGTTAGGATATTTCCTGAAGGAAAGCATTGCTTCTGCACATAACTGTGGCATTTCTTTTCAAATAAGAAAAGAAAGGAAGACCATGGTCATCAGAAACTTCTTCGTAAGTACAAGATAAATGGCAAGGTTCTGGAAGGCTTGATTGACACAGGCGCGGACATTTCTGTAATTTCCAGTAGTTGCTGGGACCCCACGTGGCCCCTTGAGTCTGCCTCTGCAGTTTGGGGTGTAGGTGGACCTCAAACCTCTTCCAAAAGCGTACAGTGGCTGCCTGTTTCTCTGCCTGATAGCTCTGAAACCATTGCATATATCCAGCCCTGTGTGTTAAAAATCCATCTCAATCTGTGGGGCAGAGACTTACTACAACAATTACAAGCTACTATTCAATTTAATGAGTAAGCTTGCACTCCCCCTCAACTGGAAATCAACCACCCTGGTATGGGTAGAACAATGGCCCATAACGGGGGAAAAGCTACTTGCTTTAGTGCTCATTTTCAGCGTTTTGTTTTTGCCTCTTTCTGCTTCCGCTCTTAATAGCAGGTAACTACACACCAACAAATGTGTGGGAATCTTTTGCAAAGACCCTCAATATTTCTTCCTTTTGCCTAACCCAACAGGTATAATAGGTGAAATCCTTGGCTCCTGCCTTATCCCTGTTTGCCATGACCCTTTTGACATACAAAATGATACCTGGTTTTTCTCATCCCTACCCCAAAATGATTCTCTCCGCACCCTTGGTTATTCCAGTTACTATGTCTGGGGTAACCAAGTGCGCCAACGCCCACCTCTGGCCATTGATTTATTGACCCCATACGTGGCTTCTTTTAATGTCACTTGCGCCCATATGGTAAATTGAACAAAAACCAACTGTGTAAAAATGGGCAAGGATAATTTCCACTGCTCTAATTATGTAAATATTTCTTATGTATATAAATACACAGAACTACCTGCTGGCTGGTTCTGGACCTGTCCTGGCTATACATTTAATTACATTCCAGCAAACATCAGCCATGGCACACCCTGCTGCTTAAGCCGTTTGTCCATCGTATTACCCAAAAAGCATCATTTGACCCGCTCTCGATATCGCCGCTCTATTGCATTGACTAACGATTGTGACGATTCAATTTCTCTTCCCAGTAGGTCTGAATATATCTCTTTAGCTGTTTCTCTCCTAGGAGTCCCTGGATTGGCTGTATGCAATAGTAGGAACATTAACTCTTTAGCTTGTTCTGCAGCAAAAGCCCTGAATTTTACTTCTCAAGTGCTTCATCTTCTGAATAAAGAGCAGAGTGAACTCCAGCATGGTCTTCTGCAGAACTGCGCTGCTATCGATTATCTATTGATGCTTCATCATTACGGCTGTGAACAAGTGGACGACATGTGTTGTTTTAATATTACTGATAATTCCAAAACCATCCAAAAGCAAATCTCTCATTTGCAAAATCTCACACACCACATTAAACAGGACGTTGGACTTTCTGGCCTCTGGGATTCATTCACCCAGTGGCTGACTGGCTGGTTGCCAAACCTGAATTGGCTTTGTAATCTCTTTCAATATGCCATTATTATAATATGTATATTGATTTTGCTATGTTGCTTCCTCCAATGCATTCCTAGACTCATAAGTCTTTTGTCTCGGCTTCTCTCTCCCCCTCAGCCACCCAATAAAATCATTTCTGCCTACTTTGTGAAATTGCAGCACCAGCAGTAAACATTAGGGGAGATGTGGCGAACTTATTTCGGGCATGCGCTGGCATACCACGTATCCCGAAACATTTTTGTCCCATCAACCCTGGCGAACTTATTTCAGGCATGCGCTGGCAAACCACGTATCCCGAAATATTTTTGTCTTATTCACCCAGAACACCTCGCAAATAAGAAAAGAAAGGAGGAGATGAAGGAAAGCATTGCTTCTGCACATAACTGTGGCATGATGGGAAGTCTTGCTTCTAAGCTTTGTTTTGCTCACGCTGCACAAACCGTGCTGATGCTAAGACATTCCATCATCACCCTGGTACGTCCTGTTCACCTTGAGTTCACACCATATCAATCTGTACTTACCCCTCCTTGTACATTCCTTTTCGTACCACTCTGGTACGGGCAGTCCGAAACCATGCCTGTGTAAACTCCGCGTTCCTTTTCCCAACCTTTAACCTGTCTATGATTAATGTCTTATATGCAATAATTAATGTCTTATATGCAACCCTTGCTTTGTACTTATGTTAACCAATC